TCATTCTAATTCCCATAAAGAAATAAAATATTATTTTCATTATATTTAATTCAACCGTTTTTGCTTCATTATGACAACAATAGAAATCAAATAAGTCTTACATATTCAAGAAATATAACCCCAAAACAGGAGTCCACCTTTAGAAATAATCTAAATTTCAGTTGATCTTGACATTAGACTGATACACTTGCCAACCGGTAAAAGAATACATTGTCAATGTTTTCGTGGCAAACGAGACAATGACTTGGCCGCATTTGATGTACACAATTCTGGCAAAGACATGAATGATTGCAAGGACGAAATGTCGCGCCCTTTTCGTTCTTCTGACAGTTAGTACACATCAGCCTCCTCAGAGATGCTGCTTTATCTAGCAGTACATCTGAACTTGAAGGGGGACCTGTAGGGAACAATAACAAAGGAGTAAAGGTTACATGAACTGGAGAGACGAACTTATCAAGACTTACATTTCGTAAATTCATTGAATATCGATATTAGACTGGATTTCTCAGGGTTTTATAATAAATTCAACTCGCAATGTATCTCAGTGGTAGGTGTGGTTCTATAATTCATTCCAATCGCAATATGTCTCAGGGTTAAGTGTGGTTTTATGATGAATACAACTCGCAATATGTCTCAGGGTTAAGTGTGGTTTTATGATGAATTCAACTCGTATGGTGTCTCAGTGTTTCCTTCATCATATTCTTATATAGAACCCTGTAACACTAATAAAAGTACTCACATATTTCACCAATTGGATTTTCCACAGCACTGTCGAATTGCTGAAAAAAATATTTAAGAAGTGGTTGCAATGTAGCGCAATCGTAATGTAGGCTAAAGGTGAAGTATTAGAACGTTTTTGCATCACATAATATATTTGACAGTATAGAAATAACAATTACCTCAGTGTATCTAGTAGGTTGTTTTGTTCTAGAATACACATGATAACTATTACCCAAAGAATGTCTTATTAAAATATTTAAACTCGAATACATCTGAAGACCCTTTCGTACATAGATACATGTGTATGATGTGTATGTGCACCATTAACTCATAGAACTAACTCATACAGTAAGATATATTAGTTTAAAACTATAATTTATAATATCAACTTTTTGAATCGAGTTTATATTTAAACAACATGAAAGCTTAAGTGATTTTAAGGTCTTTACTTAAAACGTCCACCGATTATTGATTGTATGATTTGTTTGTCAAACAATATCAAATCACATTACAACGTTTGTGGGTAAATTCATGCTTGTATCGACTTTTCATTTATTTTTCAAAAGTATAATGTTTTCCAACCATTTTATTTTGTAGCCACGTGATCGTGTCTTTAAACGTTTAACACTGCTGAAAATTGCACAGAATGAAGGACAATAGGTGATACACGTTTCGCCATATTACCAATATTATTGCATTTTTGAATGCACTCTGCCATTTAATTCAACTACTTAATACATGTAGAAACCGTATCGTTACTGTGGAAAAACATATGCACATATTTGACAATATGGCTGTACAAATGTAATAGTAAAAGAATGTGTCGTCATTTGCACATGAATGGTAGGGATTTAAGGGACATGAATTATTACAATTTTTCTGTAGAGTAATAATGAACTCAAAAATGCACTGTCGACGACACGGTGTTTTAACAACATGAGGAAAATCTTATGATGTTTCCTCTCATTACAGTCAGTTAACTTATCTTGCATAGAAAGACAATGCAGAAACATAAAAAGAAAGGAGTTACCTCCCTTTTCCCTCTGCTCGTTCTTATATATCTTGACACATATCTTGCCCATATATGAAGGTTTATTCTGATAGTAATGGTCAATATTAAACAATAAGACAAAAATTGGCGATTTTGGCTAAAGGACCGTGAAATCTTTACTTTTAATAGTGTAATGTTCATTCACTCTTTCCTTGATTATATTGTAGATTCGTCTTCTTATGAAGTTCACAAGTCACAGATGTTGTTTTTTCACGTGAGCCTCTTAATATACTGTTAATTTTCAAATGATATGTTCTGAAAACTGATATACCGGTTTTTCTAATTTTACACCGAAATATGCCAAGTTTTGAACAAATATTCCAGCTACAAATTATAACATGAGATATTTCAGTAACCTTTATGAAGAAAGGCATTTTGAAAGTCTATTGAAATCGGTGGCGACTAACGCATATATTTGACAGAATACATCATGACTCATTTCATCTGTGATGCATGGACGTTGCTTCTTCGCCATAATGTACTTATGTTCCTAAAAACACCACTTAAAGAGTGGACTATATATATTTTTTTGTGTTTGCAGAAAAAAAAGATTCTTAGCATGCTCTCTCATTTGTACCGTGCTGATAATGTAATGGATTACTCGGACAAAGTGTGCGTTACTTAGTACAAGCGGTTGTATGTTTAGATGCATGAAATAACGAACGTTTGTCATAACACGATGCATCAATTACGTTTTCTATTATGTCAAACTCAGTGTCATTATTGTGCCCGTACATCTACCAATAAGAAATATCATGAATATGTACATATTGTGATTTATTTACTCCGTTGATGAAGACTCCTGCTTTTTTCGTAGGAAAGTGCAGTTAGGCGATTTCTCTGCATGTTCTTTGTTCATACGCAAATGGTTTTTGTGCAGGTGTACTTCTACATAAATGTAATTAAGATGAAAACTCAACATTAACACAAATGTCAAAAAACTAATATTACCGTTATTAATGGTACATTTACATTGTAATATGGATGTAAACATTTAACAATAGAGAAATATAAAGGAACAAAGCAAAGACAAAAGCAGCCGTTCATGCGTTAGTTTGGTTAGATACTTTGTCCTAAGTTTCTTACTCATATCACTATATCTTTTTATGATTTGCTTCAGATAGTTTTGAGATAATACTGTTGTTTAAGTTTTTGGCAAAAGATGGCAATATAACATAAAGGAACAAATTATTCGATAAAGGACATATCAAGAGTAAAACAAAAAAAACAACACATGTAATGTAAGGAAAATATATTTCAAGTTTACCTTTCCCGCAGTGAAAACATCGCACTTTGCTTTTTGTTCCTGAAATATATAAAAATAACTTTCAGATACCATCGGTATCGAAAGGTACTTATACTTTCTGTATTTTACTGGTAATTACAAGTAAACAAACAAACGTTATTTACCTTCAGAGAAGAATCCGTTTCTTGCCAGATCCATTGCCAAAGACTGATCAATTCCATGTCTTAACAAACTTTTAACTCTATTATTCCCAAATAGATAATTTGGGAATTCTGCACCAGAAGTAATACCAAGAATACTGTCTGGAAAAATTACATCAAATATAAATATTAATATGAAAACAATGAAAAAAAATAGTTTTCTCGAAATATTGCTGGCTAAGCTGTGTATTTATACATGATATTTCATAAGAATTGTTATAAGTAATAAAAGCAAACTAAGATTAATTTCTTATTATTTTCTTCACTTTTTTAAACATTTTTAACATCAATTTCAGTCTATAAATTAGTTAAAATTAATGAGAAATATTATATGAAAACACACGTAATAAATATTGGCTCCTGATCAATATAATAGAGGTACAATGAATGAATGTCATTTTAATTAATGCTTACAATTTTGGTTTTTGACAAAATCTGAAATGAACACACATCCAGGAGACTGTTCTTTGTGTATCAAACCAACATTGTCAAGATCAGTGAGTTCTGTCACGTGTAACTCAATTCCACACGAGAAGCATTGTACTAAATCTCCACGCAGTGTATAATAAAACCCTGTGTTCACAAGTTTCGTCAGAAAAATTGTGTAATACTCATCCGGAAATTTCCGAAAGCTGTTCACCCTTGCTAATTTATGGGAAAAGTCGGTTTCAGAAAATGCACTTCCATCCAAAAGAGTGAACGACGACTGTGTCATGTTGATCTCTTTGAAACAGTATCATTAACGAGGAATGAAGCTGGAGAAAAAATGACAAAAATGAAGAAAGTTTTAAAGCAATTTTGTTCTGTCAAATATACAAATACATGCTACATCTATACATAACAGTGTGAATAACTTTGAAACGAAACCATTTTCTTTCTACAAAATCAATCCCGAGTATGAATTCGTGATCAGATTAGCTTTTCCAGATACATGTTTATTACTATAAGTGCTCACATAATGACATAGAGTGGAAATATCAAACCTTAAAAAGCGTTAAAAATTGAACAGGGTATGCAAAATATACTTTAGCATAAAGAAAAAAGCACAGAAACTTCAAACGGGCAACAATTACATATTTTTGTTAGTTAACATTTGGTCTGTTGCGTTTGTGTCTATTTAGAATGAATACCCTTCCATATTTATCAATGAAATGAAGAAAGGGTTAAACTGTCTTCACAGCGAAACAATCTAAAGAGACAAAATCATCAATGATTACGTATATATCACAGATATAGTGTTAGGTTTACAACCGTCCAAGCTGCATATATATTGTATTGAAAGAGCAAAAGCAATTAAATGCATAAATGCTATGAATCGGGCTTGTTAGTCTACCAAACATAATATATGCGATATCAAATATGTTACATTTTCTACTCCTACTTACTGCACTGTGGTAAGAATCCTGAGGGCAAAACGCATTCTTTTATCATCACAGGCCCCTTTACATTCACCTATGACGCAGTATAAATGTATCTCCGATTTAAGTGCACCAGTCCATGACCATCAACACATAGTGTCATACTCAAACCATATGTAAATCTATGTAAACCTGCTATATTTCTGTAAACGCTTAGAACATACGAATTGTATTAATCGGTAATAAGATGGGAAAAGTAATCATAAATGTGAAAATATGACTTTTTTCTAAAAATACCATCAGTTGTTTGTTAGTTCTACATGTACAAGGAAGTAAGGTATATATATCAACCAGCTGAAAATTTACAGTATTTAAACTGTGCTTATCAAGCCTATTTATAGAATTAGTCTCTGAGCAAAGGCCACTGTTCCTGCTATCTCTCTCACAGGACTGTTAGCATTATACATGAACATGTTGTTTGTGCCCTTGCCATTGGCCCTGTCAATGTTGAAGTGAATGCTTGAGATATAGTATGACATCAGACTATGATAACAAGTAACTAGGTTTTACATTTTGACGGCTGCGTCTACAATAACTGTGGTTGGGAATATTGTGATAAATAGCTATGGAACTCACTACGATTCTAAACATACTACAGTGGAGTATACGTTGTAATGGAAGGAAAGACAAATCGAGAAATATACTTCTGTCTCTTCGTACAAGAGTGTTTAGACAAATACTGTGTATGCTGTTGTTATGTGAATATATGCCATTTACATTGTACAACCAACGTAGACATAAACAAGTTTGTACATTGATAGGAAATACCGTCAAAGGTCGATACAAACTAACGTCACATCACGTTTCGATTTGGTCTTATATACTGGAATCACTGTTATCTGCGGCACATCTACGTGTTAAGGAAAATCTTTTGCATATTAGTAAAAGTGGGCAGTCACTTGACACATCTCACCAACGAGCGAAAAAACTCCTCTTACCAAATATCGCAAATGGCAAAATAGTGTGTAAACATATAGAGAAAGGAAAAATGAAACACTTACGGTCATCGAAAGAGACAATAGAAAAATTTGTCCGAAGAAGGAAAACTTACAAACATATTTGCCTGAGTAAAGAATCAGACCTTTTAAATGGCGGGCAGATGATAACTGTGCTTTGTTGTTTTTCATCATCAATCAATACAAACATTAGCGAGATATGTACGAACCAGACACACAAGGTTGTCTCTGTGAAACTTGAGTCACGTAGTACCACTTTGCAAAGCATGGAAACACAAATCCGTACAACAGTAATGTATTCGGATACAGACAATTGTACGAAAGGAAGACCAATGTTTGAAGAAAGTAGAAAGTATCTGCAATCTAACAGGATTTTCCATCGATATAAAACTGAATATCAGTGTATGGACATTCCGCTGCAAAGACAAGCCTTGTCTAATACTATCACAGAAATAAAACAGGAAGTAATGTTATCTTCAAAAGCAGAAAACAAAAGGTTATATCAATACGGTATAGATATGCATCAAAACCTTCAGGTTTATCCTGTTCAACAATTTTCTTTGGAGCAGGCGTTTATCTCATGTGGTGAAGGAGGACAAACAATTACGAACCCAGAGGTCTTCTTCTCAAACAACCTCACACGATTGTCATCCTACCGCAATTTCCCAAGTAAATTGGCACCTAGTGCTATCAAACTGAGCAATGCCGGATTCTATGCCACTGGGAATGTTGACGAAACGGCTTGCTTTCACTGCGGCTGCAGATACTCCAGATGGAATCCGAGTGAAGACCCCGTTCAAACACACGAAGAAATTTCCCCAGAATGTGAATTCATTCAAGAAATATTTGCTAACGAAGGTCGTAACGGAAAAGTGGGCTCTCATGCTACAAATGGAATACTTTGTTCTGAGGAAACAGAGACGCTTTCTCGGCTGGATCAGACTGGAGATTCTTTGATTGTATATGGGAATGAACATCTTGTCAGAAACACAAGCATTGTAAATAAGGATAGTCTGAACGAAAGAAGTACCAGTCCCTGTAGTAACATTAAAATGGCAAACCCAACAGAAGATTTCCAAATGAAAAAACATCATTTTAATGATGGAAAAGGTTCTGAATGTGCTTTTCACGCGGAAACACCAAGCATGACCTCAATTTCTTGTGAACTTCAAAGCATTTCTTTAGACAACGCTCCTTCCACTGTATCTCTACCTGTTCCTTCAAAACCAAGCTCTACATCAGTATCTTGCAACTCCTGCTTTGAAAAGGTTCCATTGAATGACAAGTCTGTCCAGCAGAAGAAAAGAAGACACCTGGCTACTAATGGTGAAACAGCTGTACATGGAAATTGGAAGCAAACAAATCCGGACCTCATACATCCGCTGTTTCCACAATATATATCCTTGCCAGTGAGGATGTCTTCCTTTGCAAAATGGCCAACACATGTAAAACAGACTGCAAAAGAAATGTCGCTTGCGGGATTCTTTTACAAAGGTTATTGTCAAATACCTGTTTTTATCTGTCATTTAGATTCTGCTGTATTGCCAAGAATGATATTAAACACTAGGTTTATTTTCTTTTTAATTCGAAGGATACGGCGATGCAGTAGCCTGCTATTGGTGTGGAGTTTGCATTGTCAGTTGGGAGGAAGAAGATGAGCCATGCATTGAGCATGTTAAATGGAAACCACTCTGTCCGTATACAATACAGACCAAAGGACAAGACTTTGTGGACCTTGTACTGGAGCAACAAGGGCGATTATACCAAGTCAGTATGATACATCGCTTATATTCGTATTAAACATCACAAAAATAGTGTCATACGATATTTACCAATCTGTTTTCTTTTCTTTTCAGGGAGACAAAAGTATCGATGACTACAACGTTGCAGGTAATTATACATTGTTTCTTGTAATGATTCGGCTTGTTTAGTAGCTTGTGATGTATATCTATATTGCAGTAGTAATTTTGTTTCATTTGGTAATGTCTTGATGAGTATATAGTTTTAGTGTTACGGATTGTCGTGTCTTCTGCCAAAGACATTTGAATAATACTTTCGTGATTATGGAGATCGACCATGATGCATTTCCGATGTCTAGTGTCCCACGTTTTGGATTGCAAGGATCAAGCACAACTGTCGGATGACGGTATGGCGATATCAGTACGGTGTTCCGAATAAACCTTGCGTATACTATTTTTATAGGTTTTTAAAATCGCTCTTCATCGTCCGATGCTTAATGTATTGACGTATTTTTATGCAATTAACGGCTTTTTGTATTGGAGGCTTTCCGATTTTATAGTTTAAGGCCAGTTTCGGCATAATTATACGGTAAGTAGTTAATTAATTAAAAATACAAGTATTATAATTCGACAGTTTACTTTTATGTTAATGATTTTATTGTTGATTTCAGAACAAACCCTTTCCTCAAATAATGCTGTCGAAGAAGTAAAATACACAAAACTAAAAGAGATGGGGTTTAAACAGAGAGAAATTGACATCGCTGTTTGTAAAGTGTCCAGACAAAAAGGTAACAAACTACTGAAAGACATTGATTTCTTTTATAAAAGGCATTTTCCTGCCGGTATCGTACGGTTTAATTTGTTTTATAATATACTGGACCGCTATCAAGCGAGTATTTATAAGGTCTGCGTGATATAAACAGTATAAACTTTGTTATCGATAGGACGACTCGAACCTGCGTGTACCAACACACCGTATTTAATCGCTTCTGGTGGTGACAATTGCAAGCCTATGTGTTTTTAATATTTGTTTTAGCGTAAACAATGATGAAACTCATGCACAAGGAATTTATTGAATGACATTATCCCGTTAATGTTCATACGATCTACTTGCAAACCTGTTTACGGATACCGAACACTGCAAAGGGCCGGTTTCCAAAACGGCTCCTTCTCTGATTCAAATTTCCTGTTGGTGGTGCACTGCCCATGTCATTGTGGTCACAAATCTATAAAGTATAAAGATTTAGGTCACTTGGTTTGTTTTTTATGGCTCCTCAAAGTTGTACCTTTCAGAAGCTGTCTAAGTGTTGATAAAATGTGCATGTTATGTAAAATATTAATGAAAATCTAATCAAATGATGGTCACCGTAAAGAATACATTCATGGCATGATTGTGACAAAAAATCATGTTTCCATCGCGCCATTTGGCTGTTTTATGGAAGAAACAATCTCAAAAATGCCATTTTCGATGATAACATTTTAGACACAAAAACTGTGTTTTTTAGAGAATACACCCTTTTATGGGCGTTGGATGCAAACCAATTTTTATCCTATTAAACAGTACGTAATATGCTATTGATGAGAGGAAAAATCATCAAAATGTAAGTGGTGGAACATTTTCAAATGTTGGGTTGAATTAGCCTATGGTTGAATTGCCGATTTTCGACTTTCTTTAGATAATTAACAAAAAAACGAGAGTATTTGCTCGGTATGTTGAGAATATGTACACAGATATGAAAAAAAGTGAGAGAAACACTTTTTCATAAAAAAAATCCAAGATGGCTACTTCACAAGTCCCCGTGGTTGAAGACATTGGCTGACAAATAGACAGAACAACAAACAAAACGTGTTCCTTATGATTTTGGTTGGTTTTCGCATTTACGGGAGTGTTCATAGCTACGGGCGATTGTATAATACCTATATTTATAAGTTTGGTTAGTCACATGGTAACGGGGATCTTTCATATCGAGCCCCAAACATACTTTCGACATATGCACTCCGTTGCCGCATGGAAAACTATTTCAAGTTTTGTCGGAATTTCTTTACCTGTGGTTGTAATGGTCGAGGGTTTTCCAGCGTCCTGTAATACCCAAGGTAGTACAAGATACTGGAGATGTGCGCACACATTCCCATCGTTCTCTCTCCAACTGGGCACTGGCAGTAGTAGTCCTTTATTGGGGCCTCAACATCGGGTGAAACGGTGAACCGTATCCAAACGTTATATTTCGTTTGGCTTTTGTGTCGAGAATGTATTTGACATCGGAGAAGGTCTGGGGAGTGCTGGTAAAGCCACACCTCATAGTCTCCGTCATCACTTAAATGTTCGGCGATGTAACCAGGAGCCAGAGATATCTGATACGTTCCACACGTAATGGTTCTCAAGTAATCAAGATCGAGACGGGGAAACAGTACGGAAGATGCATCCATCTTGACAAACTCGGACCTTGCCCGTCTAGATAGATCCGGATCTGTCTTGACTCTCTGAGCTAAACCATTCGGTGTTGTCAAACGGTCCTTCATACGTTCAGCCATTAGCCTATCTTTGGCATCTCTCTCTGGAGATCTCTGGTAGATCGGTCCTCTAATACCATTCAGACAGGCTGTGACGGTTCGAAGCAAAGCCTCGATGACATTGATAAAGCTGTTAGACACCAATTGCGTTCGGAAGAACGTCCAGTGTTTCAGACGACCATGATAGGATTCCACAATCCACCTCGATTTGGTGATAGTTCTGTCAAGATTTGCTTGGACGTCAGAATGTTGACTTTGACCGGGTTTCAGGTATGACGGCATGCTAGCATTGAGGCCAGAGGCTTCGAGAACTGGTAGGACATCTCTAAAACCTCGGTCAACGACAACGTTGTCGTCTGGTTGTAGCCAAGTAACTAGCTTGTCCATGACTTTTTTTGTAATTGTAGCATCATTTTCGCTGCCAGTGAATGGTCCTACTGTGTCCAGAATGTAGCCATCTGGTAAGGCGATGCTCATGAATTTGAGATAGTTTCTCTTCTTCTGGCCACAGTAGGACATTCTCTGGAGCTTGTGGTCGGAGCTTTTCTGGATATAAATATAGGTGCCATCTAATATGGCAGTGGCTTTATCTCCAAAAAATGCTTCTGAAAAGACAGTATTGTGCCCGAGCAACTGTTCTCTTGTCAAGTGATCCGGACCTAGAAATTGTGGGACTATCGATGTGTCTAATGCCTGTACTATGGAGTGGAAAGTTTTGGACACACTTGACTTGGAAATTCCAAAAAGAGAAGAACACTGACTCCAGGAAATGTCGGTTTTCAGTTTTACCCAGAACAGTAATAGAGCATCGTGTGTAGTCTTGGTATATATACCAGATGAAAGATATGGGGAACAGTGCGAGTGGATTTCGAGGAACTGATCTTTTGACCAACCTGTTCAGGCCATGCATGCGGAGTCATCAAGAGAAGAAAAGCTTATTGTAAACGCAGACTGGTTCTGTGAAAGGACGTGCGACACCTCTAGGAGGTCATTAATGATTTCGGACGATTTTGATGGTAACTGAGATTCCAAGGAACCTCTACCATCAAGGACAACCTCTGTAGACGGATCTAAGTCGTTACCAATAAGGTGAATGGAGCAGACGCGGGATGAGGTGGGACACCACAGTTTGTGTGAATAGATCAGGTGATGTCTTGCACGTTTTGGTAAGACTGATGATTTTGTTCCATTTCTTGCAAAGGTAACAAGACAGAGACAGCATTTTTTGTGTGAAGATGATCCATTCAAAAGATCATGAAGGGTCAGCAACGGCAGGATATGGGACGGGGAGTCGTCTTCTTCCTCTATTTCCTGGTTCTGCTCGGGTTCAGGTTCAGGCTGATTTTTGTTCCGAAGATACTTCATGTAGCACTTCTGGCAAATAAGTGCTTGTTCCTTTGCTGACATCAATCCTTGTTGCACCAGCGTATCTAGGAGCCATTTATATTGTGGACTATTTACATTGCGTGCACTTCTGTTCTTATTGCCACTACGTTTCTTGAAGTATACTTGACACCCTTCTCCAACACATTTACCCTCCATCTTGAAACAATAACGATTGGTTTATGAAGCGTCGATAAAGTAACAAAATAGCAAGCCACCGATGATTGCTGTAAACAGCTAATACTTAGTAGTTTGGTACAATTATGCGAAAATGTGTGATAAATAACGAACAACTAATTACACAAAATAACAAGACAATATAATAAATCACATTCAATACCTCCAAGAAGCGCAGAATTGATTGATTACTTAGAACAAAATAAAGTATTTCATATGGATAATCTATCTATTCGATGTGGCGTGGTCGGCAGGCACAAAGAAAGTGAGACAAGTCAGGGTCCCAACCCTGACAGAGCCACAACGCTTTGGAGATGGGACAATAAAACAAGGAAAGTGAGACAAGAATAGCTAGCGTCGAGTCAATGATTCCGTAAACGTATAGACAAAGACAAGAAGATACGGATAAATGTACAAGGCCACACGATCAGAAAATTCAGAAGAGGACAACTTGAGATAGAACAGTATTCATGTATCAGGGTGTCCTCAGTGTAAATCTTTATATCGATACTGTTTATTTAGTCGTTACACATCATAAAACTGTCATGAAAATATCCGCTCTGATATTCAATATAAAAGTTTGTATATAATAAGCTATATAATAGGGTTTCAGACAAGGTTGTTACTCATTTCCCCTTTTCTTTCAATTTACAACCACATTCAGGCGGCGATATGAGAACGTTCCACCACATGGAATTAGCTGATTTTTGGTACACATATGAAACAAGTAAAGCTCTATCCGATTTTCTGATGGAAATTTGCATCCAAAACTATATAACGGGAGAAAATTGCAATTTTATGGCATTTTTCTTCATAATTGTGTCTCTGCAAGTGCATTTTCATCCGAGAATTTTTTTTTTTATGTTTTATGAATAAACACGATGTTTTGGAAATATTTATCAAAAGAAATTTATACTATGTTGCGAATTACAATTTCGAGATAACCTTCTTTTATTTACGAACTTATGTCTTTGATGCTGAAATTGACAACTTTATAAAAATACATTTTCACTGAAATTATGAAATCTGGGTGTCGGAAAGGTGTAAAATTCTACGGGGGCAGGCTCCTATGGAGAATTAACATTACTGGAAACAGGCCCTTAAACCCACAAATCGTTTCAATAGAAAACCCGGCAGAAGAAGATATTTTGGAGCAGCTCCTGAACGACGACACAAAGGGAGAAACAACCGAAACAATACCACCAACAGCGATGTCCTTCCAACGTGACCAGGAGCCATGGAATGTCACCTCGAAATATAACTATGCTACATCTGCTAACAGTTCTGGTAAGTTAACGATCTGTATCTACTTGATTTACCTGTTTACATGACAATCAAATATAAATTGCATATTACAGGTTTTTTTTAGAATTTGAGAATCCAAGCTGACATATTTTGCTTATACATTGCAAGGAGTACTTACATGTATATAACTTGCCACACCTGTGCTATTCAGCAATATTCTTTATAGCTAGATGAATTAAGTATATGCTATCTTTACAAAATTTGCCTTTCACAAGTGTTTCTTCATATTTCAGAAGACATAGATCACTTAAGCAGGGTGGAACGTTTGATGTGCAAGATTTGTATGACACAGGAGGTAAATGTCACTTTCCTTCCGTGTGGGCATCTCATATGCTGCTTGGAATGCTCGGGAATGGTGTCAAAATGTCCAGTTTGCCGTGCACCGATCGAAAACAGAGTGAAAAGCTATATTTCGTAAGGGAAATGATGCAAAATTTTCATTTACATAAAATGACATGTAATATGAATCACATAGACATCTTATTATGCATCTTCTATGAAACATAAAAAACATATATTCATGCATAAACAAATATATATACTACATTTTTTGAATATGATAGTAACTAGAGCCACCCCTCGGATATTACTGTTACCCTCGGCTTTGCCTCGGGTGCCCCTAGTCACTCGCACACTCCAATGGATCTTGTGATTATTTTATTATAACGGAAGTCATCATGGCGGTTGAAACGAATTGTACGCGCATCTTCTTTGCGCGGGTACTATTTGCAGTGTCACTCACACTGTCACTCGTTGCTAGGGCGTCGGGAAGAATCCTTTCATTGTCTAAATGTTAAAGCGAATGTGACAGTGTGAAATGAACGACATGCTTTGCCACTCCGATTACAGGATTTTCACTAGAGCTATAATGATAATTAATATTTAAAGAGCAATTAGATATCGGAGTAACAGATTAGAATAACAAAAAGAAATTGTAGATACGTGAAGCGATCACAATATCATTTATACACCATATTAACACATATCTAACCTTTCGTTACTTTGTATATATCTGATACTGAACTGTTACATACCTACATTGATATCAGCATCAAACCCCGTAATAGAAACAAATAAACACATTTGTAGACTAATACAACAATATAAAACATATTGAGAAATCCGTAGGTCAAATATATTTTAACAGTATCGACTGCAAAATGTGTGTAAAGATTTGAATTTAAAGCTATAGTTTAATTCACGCTCTATGGGAAATGAAATCTATCCTTTGTTGTAAATGCTTCAAATGAATGTATTAATAGCTAACTGGTATAGTATTGCACAAGAAGATATTAAATACTAGCAAAAACATTTCCGCAACCTCTTGTCCAGAGTGAGTGACCCTCAAGAACTCCTGGTAAGGTCCACAGTGCAGTTATGTACATATCGAATATGTACTAGAAATGGCGGATATAACAAGTGACTGAATCAATATACAGCTCCGCGTGTACGCACCAGGAAGTGTGTTATGTGAAAGGATCAGTTGACAATGGATCAATGATATGTTATCATATTGATACAATGCCGTATGGCCATTAAATCAATTCTGGCTGATCTCATTTATTTAAGTCCTGCATGTACATAAATGTACAAAATGTAGGAAGTTGTCTTTACATAGACGCACACACACACATTTAAGTTAACATTTTATACACGTTTTGTTCCTTTGTTAATGATTTCGTGTCTTTTCACATTAGGTGAAGATTTTTGTCATGCAGTTATAGGATACGTCTTATACAAAAGACCCTCTCTTTACAAGCGACTGAACATGTGTAGCAAGCGTAAAAGCCAGTATTACGTGATTATACGTGTTTCAATAGCAGGGCCATTGGTTTTAAAGGTTTTGTGTATTTGTGTGTGTGTGTGTTTTAAAAACCTTAAACAATGCTCTGAAAAGTTTATTTGTGAATCCTTTGCTTATTTATCTACCGAATACACCACTATACGCATGATTTTCAAAAGTTCAAAAACAAATTGACCTTAAACTACATGACAGGTATCTTTGAAAAGGGGAAAAAATATGACTCTTTCGGAACACATTGTCATATTTTCTGTGTATGGGGAAACTCGGGTTACTTCGATAACGCGGAAAACCTCGATCACCTTAATCATATCTTGCACGCCCCTGCCACTCACTCATAACATTGAAACACCAAAACTGGTCCATCAAAAGGTATTTCCAAATATAGAATGCAATTTTTCAAAATTTCTTGTGATGTGTGAGGTTAAAACCTGAATTTTATTTTTGGTTGATCCACTGCGTTGACACGCTCCAACCGGCGAGCAGCCGGTTAAACTATTTTGGACAGCACAGTGATCATGAAGGGATGTAGATCCACACACCGAGAAAAATAAAAATAGAATAGTATATTTAAATATATTTTTTATAAGTGTCTCATTTTCATTTTGTATATTTAACACTTGTTTCATCGTTTTTTGTGGGAATTTTAGTTTTATTAAAGTTTTACCTCTTTTACATTTGTTTACATTGTATAGAGCAACGTGCTAACGCTGACCCTTCTGACCAAGCTCGACACTCTTGAACTATCCAAGGGTTATACGCATCGTTAGAAAAACTGGCTTGCCCGCAAGACACTATTTTCCCTCCATAATCCCCCTCCCACTCAGCCATTAACTACGCTCGATGTTGCTGAAATAATGAGCTCATCCCTATATCGCATTGCTGGAAAAGCTTACCTGGCAGTCAGGCAGTATTTCCCCTTGAGTATCATTGGCTGTTGAAGACACGACTACATAGTCACGTAGTGACTATTTGCGAATATCATAATATAAGATCACCCATTTTACGTCAAATGATAGTAAGCGAAACTATGATATGATTCAAGATTAACCAAGACCTTCAGAGCAGTTTGTACAACAACCCTTATTATTGGTGGGGCGGTGTCACTTACCGACTTATTATTGGTGAGGCGGTGTCACTTACCGACAGCATGATTGATAAAGTTAGTCAACAATTTAGTTGCGCGTTTTCATTTCTGACGTTATAATATAAAGCCATCATCTAATGGTCAGGTTGTAGCTAGCCTTTTCCACTAAGAAATTTCTACATCACTTTATTATTTTGGTGAAGAATGTTAACCCTGCTCCTAATATGATATGTATCTATCTATCTATATGAATATGGGGCAACTATTTTAAGTAATTCGTATCCTACGGACATACCTCCATTAGAATCTAGTGTAATATGGGATTTTACCGTCTATATTACTTCTTTGACCCATATCTATATAAATATATGCATCATTAAGTGCACATGCCTATTTTTAACTTGTAAAATATTAGTAACTGAAAACGTTAGAGTGTAACAGGCAAAATCTGCTCAGAATACTTTATTTGTCTGGATCCTCGAAAATGTATGGTATTGAGTATATAACAATGAATATATATATGGATCAATAAACGGGCAGTAAAATGTAGATATATTCTACTACGTATATTGTACATAAATGAGTCATTCAAGTCGATGGGTTCTACTGATGTATTATGCCCACAATGTTTAGGCTGATCTACTGTTTATAAATATCTCTTAAACTTGAAAGTTTGACACGCACATTTTACTATGTATACTATTTATCGCCGTATCCTTCAGTGTGAAGCTGGTGTAATATACTATGTATAACTTAAACTTTCAGTGTCGATGAGGTTTATTTTATAATGTGAATAATGTAATGTATTAATACTTGAGTCTTCAGTGTTTAGAAGGCTACTCTACTGTGTGTATTTAGAAGGCTACTCCACTGTGTGTACCTTATACCCCATACTCTTACAGTGTTAGAAGGCTATTCTACTGTGTGTACCTTATACCCCTTAATCCTTCAGTGTTTAGAAGGCTACTCTACTGTGTGTATTTAGAAGGCTACTCCGCTGTGTGTACCTTATACCCTTTAACTATTCAGTATTTAGAAGGCTACTCCGCTGTGTGTACCTTATACCCTTTAACTATTCAGTATTTAGAAGGCTACTCAACTGTGTGTACTTTATACCCCTTAATCCGTCAGTATTTAGAAGGCTACTCAACTGTGTGTACCTTATACCGCTTATTCCTTCAGTGTTTAGAAGGCTACTCCACTGTGTGTACTTTATACCCCTTAATCCTTCCGTGTTTAGAAGGCTACTCCACTATGTGTCCCCTATACCCCTTAATCCTTCAGTATTTAGAAGGCTACTCCACTGTGTGTACCTTATACCCTTTAACTCTTCAGTATTTAGAAGGCTACTCCACTGTGTGTACCTTATACCCCTTAATCCTTCAGTGTTTAGAAGGCTACTCCACTGTGTGTGCCTTATACCCCTTAGTCCTTCAGTATTTAGAAGGCTACTCTACTGTGTGTACCCTTTACCCCATAATTCTTCAGTATTTAGAAGGCTACTCTACTGTATGTACCCTATACCCCATAATCCTTCGATGTTTATAAGGCTACTCAAATGTGTGTACCCCTTAATCCTTCAGTGTGCAGAAGGTCTGTTTAACTGATTATGTTTCATATCTCTGAATCTTTCTAAACAATACATCTTTAGATTATTTAAAGTGTAGTAAACAGTAGGCTACACTGATATGTATGTAAATCTTTTTTAACAAACAGAATAACAGGAAGATGTTTTATGTATTCCAAGTATCTGGATTTCAAACGTTTATTGCTTATTGTTTTCCCTGTATTATTAGATATTCATACTTTTGAAGGGTGAAGTATTCCTCTTCTTATGTAGATATATATATACATAGAGGCGAAGGCGCTTGGGAGGTACAATGTACTAAGAAACTGCTGTTATTTGTTTATATAAATTTATAAATATAGTAGATAATAAATTCTTGCGAAAATATAGAATAAAAGAATAAATATCTAAGATCAACCGCTGGGCCTTTCTACCTTCTTGGGCTTCTTAAGGCGGACTGATGTGTATTTTGCACCGTTGGTTACATGACGTCATCAATATTTGCATAGTACACAATGTTAGTGACGTCATATATATATACGTATTATATAGCTGAGGATCGTGTATGGTCCAGCATAAATTTAATTTTGCAGCCAGCATAACCTAACTTGTAAACGTTATATTCAAGGAACTTTTAATATGTTATAAGTAAGATAATTATTTAAACAGCATAGCTTTGTCCGTATTTGGATTTTTTTTAGATTATTCCTGTTTCAATGCAATATTATATTGCTTCGATAAATTGAGCTGTATCTTCAAATAGCTCCTTAATAACATTTGCTCATTGTTGTTAATACTTTTAACTTGATTTAATTGCTTATATCCTTTTTAATGAACTGA